AAAGACTAAGTATTTCATAATTTTTCTTTAAATTTGTATTTTATTTTTATTTTTTTGTTTTGCAAATAAATCTAGGATTAACAACACTTTTTTAATGGCTTATTTTGTTGAATTCTATTAACGCAATAATTTAATTCTTAAATAATAAATATTGGATGAAATGATTATATTTATAATGGTGTATAATTTTTTTTATATAAATTTATATTTATGTTCGTGTATAAGAGGGTTTCTTATATAGGTAAGTCACTGTAATGTTTACATATAATTTGTATACATACTGTCAGTTAGTTAGTATAGGCCGATCATTGAACTATACACGATCTTAATATTATTGTGATTTAATAAATATTTTTTTAAATCATAACAAAATAATAAATAAAAGAAAATAATATGGAAATAAAAAATTTGATTTTGAATGACGATAATTTTTTACATTTAATTCTATTATACAAAATCCAGTATACTAATTAATGTCAAATTAGATATTTCTTCTCTATTAAGGTATTTAATTCTTAATTATTTTTGAATGTTATAAGTAGATGTTTTAAATAGACTTTTAGCTTCTACTTCCTATAAATGAAAATTAATATGTATAAGCTACTTTATTATAATCCAGGAGTTTTGCATCAAAATTAATGAAGACTTTATGAAAATTTATTTGATTGACTATGCATGAACAAGCTAAAACTAAATTTAGATAAAATAAAATGCATGGTATTTAACAATAGATTATATCGCTGAAATAAAAATTTAGCGATGAAATAATCGAGGATCTGCAGGATGCGCAAATCAACAATAAACTGACTTTATAAATAACCATCCAGAATATACGCGCAATAACAATGTACAATACAATGAATTTGTTGTATTACGATAATTGTTCTTCGTTCCTACTCATATGTTGTGAAGCTAAAAAATGCAGACTGCAAATTTTAAAGAAGAAGAGTATGCGAGTAATTTTGAAAATGTAGTAGGAGAACAAATAATAAATTACATGTTAGATAAATTAAAGTGAAAATCAGTAAAGCAGAGGCTAAAATTAAACATTTCAGTTTTTATATTTAAACTGAAAAATAGCATGTTATCTGAGTATCTGATTTAGTTCCTTATATGGGAGACTCAGTAAACTACAATTTAAGATCAACAAGCGTATTAAGACTACCACTCTTCAAAAGCACTAATAAGCAGAACAACGTTTTTTACAGGGGCCTTCAGTTATTTAATGGATTCCCATCATCAATAAGAAATGAAACTAATGAATACCTTTAAAAGAATGCTTATTAGTTATTTAATACATAATGCATAAAGAAACAAAAATGTTTTTGCTTACTTTTTGAAAATTTTGGATAAATATTATTATTACTCGTATAAAATAAATAGTATTTATGTATAACAAAAGACACAATTCAGCTTATGAGTTATATTTGCTGAATTATGTATATATCAATAACAGTTTTATCGCAATAAATTTTAAAGTGATGATTTATGTCATTGCCACTTAAGTTAATAAAATACGTTATATGATTCTTACCTATAGAATCATATATGCATAGTTAAATATCCGTACAATACAGTCATCTTAAAAATTCTTGTGCATTCTTTTCAATCTCAAAAATTATTCGAGTGTTTATTTTATGTAAAAAAAGGACTTTGCTAGACATAACTTAAGTTTATAATACAAGGCCTATTATAGGAAAAATTGGAAAAAATATTTAAATATTATTGAACCCTCAGACTCTCAACTTTAATGATAAAGAGAACTTTTGGTGTTATGCAAAAAAAAACCTCTAGCTTACGAGTAAAAAACAGATTGATTGGCCTCCCGCAACTCCCTCAACTCAACTCACAAAAAACCTCATAGAAACTTGTGAGTTTAGTTTAAGTAAACGGGCGTCAATAAATGCAGGTCATTTTGCCTCCAATACTAACGGCTCCTAAAATATTAAATACGGCAATGGGGCATACATTTTGTTAGGTATTGCAATTTTACTTTGATTTTAAATAAAATATAAAATTAATTTTGCTTTATTTCGTTCTTATTTCAGATTTTTGTCTATGCACAAATAATTTCAGAGATGACTGTATATATTTATACAACAAGTATAACAATGCCCCACATAGTATAACAATATTTTACAATCGATATGGAAACAAAGTTTTCTATAAATTATTATAAATCGTACATAAATGTAACTATCATTTATGATTTCAAAAATGTGCAAATTTTGACAGCTTTTAAATGTGCAGCTATTAACACTAATAATTATGTTGTCGATTGCATTCTTCATTAGGCGATCTTTTAAGTAACTTGAAAAGGACATTTCCTATTACGGGCTATATCTGGGTAAGAATCTAGTTCGTAAGGTACGTCTTCTTATACGATAAATAAAATTTGTTGCACTATTTGTACAATTATTCAGTGAGTGTGCTCTTATTTTGACGTTGATGAAATTAAAATTTTAAATTAAAACGGGGAAGAAAAATTAGGTTATTGACTTTATTGTGATTTAAGGGTTCAAAATTTTTTCTTTAGTTCTTGATTAATATCCAATTTTCATCTCACATATGTGAGCTTTACCATTTAAGGTAATTTTATTTCATCCTCATTTTACTGCGCGTTTGGGGCGTGTTTCGAATTTATAATATTTATGTTCTTTATATTTGTTACATCCTTTACATAAATCTTAAGGAATAACAGTTAGCAAAGATTGTTATTTTCATTTTAATGGCGAAAATTCGTTTTACAATTTTAATCGAAGTATAGTTGGTAAACCAGCTGTTGATAAGTTCATATAGAGAGACTAAAATATGCATCTGTTAAAATTCCAAAAAAAAACTTTTTTTTTTTAAATTCAAATTTCCCTTATTACCTTTTAATATCCATTCTGTGTGATGATAAAATATTTTATATATGTGACTTTAAAAACAAAAACCATTAATGAAAAAAAAAAATATTTAAACGATTTGTTTTTTAAAAATTTTACTAATGAATCTGCACAGAATTTATGGTAAACGTATAAATATATATGTATGTATACGTATGTTTGTGGATCTTCTCTAGTAATTTAAGATAAAAAAATGAAGATAAAATATCAAAATTTTCATTTAATTCTATTTTTAAATATTATAAAAATCTTGATGAATGCAATAAAATAAATTAAAAAATGAAGGGAAAAAAAAAATGATTCTGATAGATGAGAGAAAAATTTGAATTAATTATGCATCGTTCCACAATATAGGCTTTCTTCCTGAACCGTATAGTATGCGTACTAAAAGTTAACCATATGATTTTTTTCATTTTACTTTCTTAAAAAATTTAGTATAGAAAATTTTTATATGTATAACTTTTTTACATGAATTAGAGAACTTAAGGGAATATTTATATTTAAAATAATTCACAAAATGACATTAAACTTTAAAAAACAAAAAACAACTTCAGGGATAATGGAAAATAATTTTGAAATTTGACTTATAAAACTACAACCATATTTCAATCCTTGTATTTGGAAGTGATTTTAAGGTTCGAATTAATATTAATATTATTGTATAGCAATAAACCATTTAAAATTACTTGATATGACTTTATGATAATAACAATAATGGATTATATGACGCTAATTCCATGTAAAATATATAGAGTGTACATTAAATCATATTTGGCGGATAACTTGTTTTACATTTAAACATTATTAAATACGATGTCAGTTCTTAGAATCAATTGAAAGCGACTATGGTAACGAGCAAAGTTGTGTAAGTGGCCGATCAGTTGCGTCACTGCGATTCACTGAAGCTTATCCTTTAATTGAAGATTCCAAAAAATAAAATTTATTTTCCGATTTCTTCATTAAACAGTGCGGCGATTTCGCACAAACAAGTTTAATAACATTACCAATGAATTTGTAAACAATAATATGCACAAGAATATTTACAAAAAAGAAAAATAAACTAGCCAACCAATTTAGAAAAGAATTTGTCGAAACAGGTCAGAAACCTTCCTTATATGGTAGTATAGCCATAAAATATCAATAGTAATTTGGCCATATGCCAAAAAGCATTCAAGCTGAAGTATTTGAATTCAACCCAAACTATTTCATATTTATAAATCTAAAATTTAAATTTCTAATGGAGTCTGTATGATATCGGATATAATCAACAATTCGTAGAGTTTATAAAGTCAACTCTATCTATCCTCGCTTTCAAACACGTCCTTTTTTTTAACTCTGCGCGTATCTCTAACTTAAAACTCTGTTGAAAATTTAAGTTTTTATAATGAAAGTCTTAAATACTCAAATTATATGCCCATAAAGGCATAATTTTGTGAAGGTGCATTTTTTGGAGATACCAAAAATTTGACGCCTATTATAAAAACAAATTATCTGACAGCTACATATACATGTGTACAAGTACATGCGACCGTGTTTCTTCAATTTTATATTTACATAGTTGAATTTGTTCACAAATTTGGTTTATAAAATTTATAGTGAAGCTTTTATATCTTCACGTTTTATATTATAGCCTTTATTATTAATACTTAAGTATTTTTAGTTTATTTGTTTTGTTTTTTCAAAAAGACACTTAAATATAATGCCACGCGCGCTTTACGCATAATGATTAAAAGAAAATATAACATATAATTTTCACCGCATTTTATAATATAATTATAGATTTTCTTCTAGATAAATTTTTTGTATGGTTTCATAGTGATAACATTTTGTATAATATTTCTTAAACTAAAACTACATCAATTTTGTATTATTAAACAAATTAGCTTATTAGTATTAGGTTGCTAAATTATTTATACAATATTCTCACAATTTGGAGGTGGCATTTAACTTTAAACAGAAATATGAAAAATTCAATGAAAATAGTTAAAAAACAGGAAAATAATCAATATTTGTGAATTTTAAGGAACACGAGGTTGTATTTGTGTTAATCATTGATAAAAACTAACAATTCATGATATATCCTAGGATAGTTAAATAAATAAAATTACTTACTACATAATCATGTGCTGATGGTCGTAAATGTAAATTATCCATATTATCCGTTATCGAACGGGTCGGTGATGATTCCTTAACATACATATATGTACATATAAGTTTCCATTAAAATGAAACAATTTTTTTTATATTTTGTTTGAATCTACTAACCTGCAGTAAATCCTCTAGATTCTCAATATATTCAATAGCATTCCTTAAAATTTCTACTTTTGGTAATCTTTGATTTGGATTTGAACTAGTACGACGTTTTAATACTTCGAACGCTTCATTTACCTAAAATAGAAAATGGTTTTTTTTTTAATTAATTTGAGAAAACTGTATAATATGCATAAATAATATAATTAATATTATTATTTATTTATATTGTGTAGCCTTATATTTTGAAAAAACAAAATGACCTGCATTTTAACAACACTTTCACGCTCAAAACGAAATATTTTTAAATTTGAAATGCAAATTGAAGTCAAAGAAATTCTTTGATGGACACATACGGTTGGTTGATACCTAAACGTTATCACGCATGAAATGAATAACTGCATGATATGCATGAAAAGCGATAACTAAAAGTAAGAATTATTTCTATATCATTCGCTTTTTAAAACCGCTATGGAATCAAGCTCGTTATACTATAGCATAATTTCTGTATAAAATATTTATGATTTAATGGGTAAATGCTGAAATGCCTTGGGAATAAAATTCAATTTCTCAGTTTTCAAAGTTTCCTTTACAAAATTGTAATGAAATAGTTTCATTTTATTATAAAAATTTTATCTTCTTGCAAGAATTAACTCAGGCCATGCGATCTCTAAATTTTTTAATTTGGCCCATACTCCTAAGGTTGCATATACCTAAATAATTTAAAGACAATACTACATGTAATTTTAGTAAGTAACATTATTTATATTGTTAATACAATTAAGTTTTCATTATTATGTGCAAAATTTTTAAAGATAAGTATTGTATTTTGTAGAGAACATCTAACATTCTAAATATAAAACTCGACGGAATCTAGATGTATGTATAACACTCACAAATTCACGCATCCAATATAAAACATAATAGATTTATTTTGGTAATGGCGGTTTTACATTTTTACATGCAAAATAAACTTTAGGTTAATCTTAGGTTAGCCTTTATTCTTGCCAACAGAATTTGATTCATTTATGGACTACTCCCTACTAGTCTACTTTATAGACAACTCTCAACTTCCAAAAAGTAAAAAAAAAAATGAAATTTATATTAACAATCAAAGGTTGCTTTTAAACACATAAACACTTATTAAAACAACGTTTATCATAACAACGATAAATAAAATATTCAGGGCGCAAGTTATAAAACTTTCTAATTTGCAAAACTGCTTTAATTCAGTGCCTCGTTTATAGGGTTACGCGTGTGTTTTGTTATTGGAATTTTTTCTGCAACAATTATTATCGTTAGTAATATTTTTAATAATTTATTTCATAGTTTAGTTAATAACTCATAAATATTATACAATATATTAAATTGTTATACTATAAAAAGTATTTGTTTCGGTATAGTTAATTAAGCTTAAACTTTCTTTATAGCAAAAGTGAAGTTTTTTTTGCTATTTTTCTTTTTTATTTTGATTTATTGTGATTTTATTAGTGTAATTAAATGCTTTTTATTTATTTTATAGGTGAACATAAAAAATTAATTTGCTTTCACTCTTGATTTATTTATATTAAATTAAAAACAGATAAAATTTATAATGTCCAACAATGATAGTTTAAAGCACAAAATCGCAAATGTACAATTTAATTAAATTTGAAAACTTAATTTATATGTTTTACAATTTAAATTTATAGTAACAATAAAATTAAATATTATAGTAAAATAAAAATAAATTAAAAATTAAATTTTTATAACTTATTATAATCATATATTAAAATTTTTGTTAATTAAAATTGATTTTTATAGGTATATGACTGAAATTAACTTTTTTCATTGAGATTGACTTTAATTACAATAACAAAAAATTCGATTACCTTTCTTAATCTTCGTCTTTCCCTTAAAGTAGCTGCCTTTCTTCGATCAACAGCTACACTTTTCTTTTTACATGCTTTACATGCCCATGTTAAACAAGGTCTACTAGATAATGTTGCACTACATCCTAATGGTGCTAATACATGCTCTTCAGCTGAACTTAAGCTATTATCATCAAAATTTAAAACAAGTAAAGAAGTTTTATTTTCTTTAAATTTACTAGATTCATTTTCATAATTAGAATTATTAAATTTTTCATTAAAAAATGGATTTGTTCTTAAATTTTGTATTTTTCTTGTTTGTAAATCCATTTCCATATTAAAGCATTTCTCAAAAGACATATTCAATAAATCCTGATTATGATATTTTGTCATAATTTTTTTTATTTTTAATATTATTTTATTTTATAACAAAACTTGTTTTTATATTTTTTATTATTTAATTTAATATATGTATTTTCAATTTATACAAAACTTATTTCAAAATAATCACAAATCCGTTTATAAATTACTATAATTTTTTATTAAAAAAGATAATTCAAATTTTAATTAATAAATTTTCCGAATTTTCATAACGATTTTCATTCCGTGATATTTCATATTGCGCACGATATATAATGAAACATTAATTTCTCAAGTTAAAACGATTGACTGCGATTTTGTACCACAATTGGAAAATCAAAGGAGATAAAACTCTTATACAAATCCTTCGCCCATGTCAAGTTCTTCTAAATAAACAAAAATTTATATTATGTTTATATATTTTTATTTTGGAATCAAATGTAAAAAAGAAAATATTAAGAAAAAAAAAAGTAAAATGTCATACTGCTTAGCTCCTATTTGTGATCACAATTTATGTTTTGTATATCGTGGGGCATCACTTATTAGATAAGTTATATATATAAGAATATATACTTATACATATGTAATATATAGCTTAAAATACCTATACGATAAAGTACATTTATATATATATGTATATAAGAGAGAATGGTTGGTGGTGATCTCAACAGTTTTCATTAATTCTATTTTTAGATCATATAGCATAAAAAAATTCTTTTATAAATAATTTCGAATGATTTATATAAAAAGATTATAGTATATAATACAAGGGAGGACCTTATTTGTGGCACTCCCAATATAAATAATAATAATAATAATAATTAAAAGAAATTAATATACATTCTTAAAAATAATATCGAAAAAGCACATGCACTCATTAAATACTTTCATATATGTATATACATATTTCTTGATTACTTAAAGATAATTTAACAGAAAATCTCTTTGATAAAAAAACATTTTGCATATAAGTATGTATGTAGATTTGTAAATAATCTTTATAAAAGTAAATCATTTTAGAATTTTTGTACATAATCATTAATAATTTATACTATTATATGCTGTATATATTTTATATCTTCATTACATATGGATATAAGATATTGTGCCTGTCTATACATTATTACAAATGATTTTATTTCCTCAATAAATATTATGTGACTACAATATTTTATGCGAATTATTGTCCATTAAATGTATTTCTTTTTTCATTAATAAAATATTAATGTTTAATTATTTTCCTTTTTGATCAAGATAGTTACCATCAACATAAACTATATGAGAATTTACAAACTCTTTCAGATTATCTTTAACGTTCAAATTTATTCACTAATTTAGAGATTTAGGTGAATGTAAAATCATATTATTATGATACTTTGTTTAAGAATTAAAATTATATTGCTGACTAAATTATTTTCACCGCATTGATATTAGACCTATTACGCCTGGTTTTCGATAATGATACATGGCTATCAAACCAAATAATAACCGTCGTATAAAAAGATAATTATTCTTGTAAAGGATAGAATAATATACATATGTATAACATTCTCTCAAATATCGTGCTTGTAATGTTCTTTCAACTGCATAATGTACATAGATCCTTGGATAATTTACCTTGAATTCTATTATAACGTTTAATTCTAACATATGTAATTCGTTTTTATTTAAAAAAGTTGTTTGAATCATGAGTTAGATTAATGCGAAATATAGCTTTATTTATGGAATCGAATATGAAGTATACAATGGTGATAACAACGTATCACAATGTATAAGTGTCATATGTTTTTTCATTTCTCTACTGACGACATACTAATATGTAATATTATTATATTAGCATTAGATGATCAATTTTTTAAATTTTTACTTAAAATTTGGAATTCTTAAACAATAATATTTATTTTATACAGCTATGTATATGTACATATTTAGATCTCCATTTAATATTATAAGTACATAATATTATACCTAGGAAAACCAAAACGTTTATCTGTGTATTTAGTGGCGCGAAAAGTATTTTACTAAGCGTATGTTATCATGCTATTAAAAATTTTTGCTTTTAAAATAATGCACGTTATAGGTATTTTGCAATAAGCAAAACTCGGAATTTTTTGTTATTATATTATTTTTTTGAAGTAATAAAGAAAACAAAAATCAATAGTTACTTAGTGGTACTTTGCAAATTTAAATTTACATCGATTTCTTAAATATGGTTACATCTCAATTCACATTTCCTATAGACGAAGATCTGTAATATAATTTTTGTGTTACGATGAAAATGGATGTGCACCTCGTATATTTTTGATTCGCTTTTCATAAATGTATGTATGTAGATAAATATAGTTAGGTTGCCAGACTATGTACCTACAAGAATATTACAAAAGTTAAAGGAAATAATTGCGAATATTTTAGATTAAAAAAATTTATAATATTAAGAGATTATTCAGAATCTATAAGTACTTATAGTGGACTGTTTGTACACTTGACTGTATGTACATACATAAATACATAAATGTAGGTACATACTTAAATTATGACAAAAAAAATCATTGCATAAGTACAAAAATTTTCAAAAGATTTGATTTATTGCTGAAAATAAAAATATTTGATTATTTAACAACTATTATTAAGTACTCAAAACATTTTCAATAAAAATATATGGAATTCAGATCGAGATTCAAAGCATCGTCTCAGAGGTAATCATAATTTTGCAAATTTATATTTGTATGCACATCTGTTATTATTTACATATACACGTAATACATTTTTAATATGTTTAAAATTATTGCTTTCAGTTTTTCCAATTTTTTGTGTAATTTCAATTTTATTTTTCTAAATATCTTCACATACATTTATGTACATAAATTATAGAGTTGAGCGTTTGTACTTACAAAACATCATTTTCTTATGAATTCCCGAAATCTCGAAATGACAACGTGAACATAAAACTCGCTTCGAAATATATATATATGTACGTATAACAATCTCTTATGGAATCAGTATTTCAAAATGAAAATTATATAAGGAAAATAAATTATACATGTAAAATAAAAATTATGGCTATAATTTCATTAATAATTTAATGTAAAATTTAAATTTTTAAAAATACTATAACGGAACTATAAGTTGACATTCCTAATGTCATTTAATAAATGTATTGTCAAAATATTAAAGCTACATTCTCATTTTAATTGACATCTATTGACAAACTTTTTAACTTGTTCATGCAAAAATATTAAATTATTTTTTAGAAGTGTTAAGTACCGTCTGACCTAGCGATCTTATGTCATAATGAAATTTTTCTTCAACATATTTTTTTATGTATAGAAATGAATAAAATTCAGATAATATATAGAATTCATATATTATCTGAAATTATTTAGAAAAATCGAGAGTTCTGAAGTTTTCTTTTTTTAAGTTTCCACCTTATGGTTGAACATATTTTAAAAAGTTCCCACTAGATCTCGTTTTTCACCATTATACTTAGAATTTTCTGAATTTAAATGTCAAAGTGTCAAAATTTTTTGAAGTTTCGGTCATTTTGTTGTGGTAGTGTTTATTTCCTTTCACATTAATTAAAGTCGAAAAAATAAATTCTAGCATGAAATTATCATTAATATTTTTGTAAAAAATATTCAAAGCTTTAAAATTCGAAAAAATTAGAAATTAATAAAAATTATGAATAAGACGGAGTTCCAACGCCGTAATGGATCTCACAAAATTAGAATAAATGTGTTGTGTGCAAGAAATTTAGTTCGTAAAGATTTATTTCGACTGCCAGATCCTTTCGCGAAAATATCTGTTGACGGAACTGGTCAAGTATATACAACTGATCCATGTAAAGCATCCGTGGATCCAAAGTGGAATAATAATTACGATTTATATCTTGGTCGCGGAGATGGAATTACAATCACGGTTTGGAATCATCGAAAAATCAGAAAGGGTGGCGGCTTTTTGGGCTGTGTTCGTATACCTGCTAGCACAATTCAAAGATTAAAAGATGCTGGATATCAAAGGTTAGATCTACGTAAACTCACGTCTAGTGATACAGAACCAGTGCGAGGACAGATTATAATAGCGTTAATGTCTAGAGATGGTCCATGTAGCGGAGGTAATCCTTTAGCTGTAGTTGGACCTGGAGGTGATGTTTTGGGTCCTTCAGAAGGCGACTCTTCCGAAGATAGTTTGCCAGATGGTTGGGAAGAGAGACGTACTGATAATGGACGCATATATTATGTAAATCATGTGACCAAATCCTCACAGTGGAACAGACCATCATCCAGTCCATCTGTGGTTGTGAATTCCCCCAGTTCAGCATCAAAAGAGGGAGAAAATTCAAATATGGTTAATTCCGCAAGTAATGCAAATTTAGTTTGCGCAAAACCAAGAAGTTCGACTGAACTTACTTTAAATTCCAACAAAGAGAGTACCAATCAAACGGATCGATTAAATTCAGAAAATATTAAAGACAATATAGCAACGATGTCCACCTCAAGTGGTGGTAATAATAGAATTATTAGTACCAAACAAATTAAAGAGTCAAACAACAGTTCAAATCAAGGTAATAAAAATATCAAATGAGAATTTTAATCATAAGTAAATTATCAATTTATCTTGCATTTCATTAAATCCAAGTTATAGCTTTTAAACTTTTTAATATTCGAAATTCAATTTTTTATTCAATTTTTCATTAGGTTTAGTTGAACTTTGTTTATTTTAAACAATTTAAAAAAAATTTTTCTTCTAATTTTTCTAATCAATTTAATTTGCAAAGCAAAATGCATAAATTTATTTTTGTCTATCACAGACTATTCATTATAGTTATATTAATGTTTTTAACTATAATTAAGTGGGTAGGTAAGTACCTATAATAATTTTACTTTGTAGTTTTACTGTAATTATTGTACAACTTTATATTTGAGTTGAAAAAGTAGGCATTAAAGGTCTTCTCTACCCCCTTTTGAGAACTGCGTTTGTATTTTTAGTGTCTTAAGTTTAAATTTTCATCAGGTTTCGTTTTTTCATATGAGCTTATCTTCTGAATCATTACCAAAATTTTAAAATTAAAATTCAAAACAAAAAAAAATTTATTCACTACAAAAAGCTGAAATTTGCGTTTGTACATTTGTAAAATTATTATTTAAATAAAACATTTGAAATTTTTCAGGCAATGAAATTTGTAGCATTTCCGCCAGAGCTTTAAGTCCTGGCTCATCTGTTTCTTCGAATTTTCTTCATTCTGCTAGTTCAAGCCAATTAAATCAAAATAATTCTAACAAAAATAAAACGCCAAAAAATGGAGTGGCTGTTAATAACTCTTCAACTGAGTCTCCCGGTCGAGCATCAAATTTAAATTCATCAATTACAAGTAATGTTGCTAGAAATGGTGGTGAACGGAACATAGCCACTACATCATTTAATTCGCCTTCTACTGCCAGAGAAAATAATGACTCAAATGCTGTTCAAAATGGTACAGCTTCCGCCAGAAATGGAAATGTTCTTGTATCAAACTTAAACATAACTGAGCCCCAACTTCAAGTTTCGAACCATATCAATAAAACAAATGCAAATGATAATCTAAATAATTCACAGAGGTTAAGGAGAACTTCTCGAAATTTAGAGGACTTAGTTCGCCGACGTTCTTCCCGTAACAGTAGAACAAATCGCAATGGTACAGGAACAGCAAGACCATGTATGGACTTACCACCTAGCTATGAAATGAGAACAACTCAGCAAGGTCAAGTTTATTTTTATCACATTCCAACTGGCGTTTCAACATGGCATGATCCCAGGATTCCTAGGGATTTTGATGCTAAAAATCTTCAACTTGGACCTTTGCCAAGTGGATGGGAACAACGCCGTACAGCTTCAGGTCGGATCTATTTTGTTGATCACAACAACAGAACTACACAATTTACAGATCCCCGATTAAATGGACACATTTTACAAATGATAAGGAGATTAAATTCTGAAGGTGTAAGTAACAATACTGAACAACCACAAATAAATACGTCTGATTCTAATACCACATTGCCATCAAGCTCATCAGCACTGTCAAATTCTTTAATCAACAAAAATACGATTCAGCCCAATTTACAAAATCGTGTTAATATAATACCACAAATTGCGCAAATACAATCAACTTCAACTTCTAATAACGAAATCAATATGAATCATTCAATTCCAACACAACAAACACAATCGCCTGCCACAGCAGAAAACAGAACCTTGCATGTTCCTGCTGATTTACCTCAGGGTCTTCTTGAGCAAGGAGCCGATTTATTGCCGAAATATCGGAGAGATCTCGTAGGAAAATGCCGAGCTCTAAGAACAGAATTACAAGCTTTACAACCACAATCAGGACATTGCAGATTAGAAGTGTCACGAAGCGAAATTTTTGAAGAGAGTTATAGACTGATTATGAAGATGCGACCAAAAGACATGCGAAAAAGATTAATGGTAAAATTTAGAGGAGAAGAAGGATTAGACTATGGCGGGGTAGCTAGAGAATGGTTACATTTATTATCACGCGAAATGTTAAATCCCCAATATGGACTTTTTCAATACAGTCGGGACGATCATTATACTTTACAAATCAATCCGGATTCTGGAGTTAATCCAGATCATCTTTCTTATTTTCATTTCGTTGGACGTATTTTAGGAATTGCTGTTTTTCATGGTCATTGTTTAGATGGTGGATTTACAACGCCATTCTATAAACAACTTTTAAATAAGCCAATAACTTTAAGTGACATAGAAGTAGTTGATCCAGATTTGCATCGAAGTTTAACATGGATATTAGAAAATAACATAACAGGAATACTCGATTCTACTTTCAGTGTAGAAAATAACAGTTTTGGTGCATTAAAAATTCATGAATTAAAGCCTGGTGGTGCATCGCTTTCTGTTACAGAAGAAAATAAACGCGAATATGTGAAATTGTATGTAAACTACAGATTTATGAGAGGAATTGAGCAACAGTTTTTAGCACTGCAAAAAGGTTTTTGCGAACTTATACCCAATCATTTATTGCGACCATTTGATGAACGTGAATTAGAATTAGTAATTGGTGGTATTAGCCAAATTGATGTTAACGACTGGAAAACACATACACGATTAAAACATTGCACTCAAGAAACACCACAAGTGATATGGTTTTGGCAAATTGTAGAATCATATCCATCGGAAATGCGAGCTCGATTACTACAATTTGTGACTGGTTCATCTCGTGTGCCCTTACAAGGTTTCAGAGCTTTGCAAGGTAGCACAGGTGCTGTAGGACCCCGTTTATTTACAATACATTTAACTGCTGATGTGCCAACTCAAAATTTACCAAAAGCGCACACTTGCTTTAATCGGATTGATTTACCCCCTTATGAAAATTACCAGCTTCTTTATGATAAATTAACACAAGCAGTAGAAGAAACCTGTGGTTTTGCTGTAGAATGACAGATATTTACAACATATCGTGATAGAGTAATTAATTTTTTTATAATTCAACGTTTTTCGTTATCTTTTAAAATATTTTTTACCTTAAATATATTTCTTAAAATATTTATTCATGTGGTTTATAAAAAATATAATTTGAAATAACTATAACGCTAAATTTTTGTTGCACAAATATATTTCACCATTTTACTTAGTTAAGTTTAATATCTTTACAAATAAAAAATTTGAAAAAATAAAAATTTTTCATTAATAATGACTAGATTTTATTTTTATAATTTTACATTAATTAAGTTTTCTTTGTAATATTTCAATTCTTCTATAGTTTCCTTTATATCATCTAAACTACGGTGAGCCAATTTTTTTTTAGGTGCCTGTTTATATATTTCTGGATTCCACCTTCTACATAGTTCTTTGATTGTAGAAACATCAATTATACGATAGTGCAAGTATTCATTTAAATTTGGTAAATATTTCATTATGAAAAGTCTATCCATATATACAGAATTTCCTGCCAATGGACAAACCTTTTTCGGTATGTGTTGTTGCAAAAATGCCAGCAATGTTTTCTCAGCTTCTTCAACGCGGGTAGTTGAATTTTTACAAGCCTCTAGTAATCCGTTTTTTTGAAAATGTTCTTTGCACCAATCATTCATTTTCTTTAAATCACCTTCTGACTGATGTATGCATTGCAAAGGACCTTCTGCTATAATATTCAGCTGTTTATCAGTAATTAAGCAGCTAATTTCCACAATTTTATGTTTTTCAATTTCCAATCCCGTCAATTCTAAATCTATCCAAACTATGTGATCCATCTTTTTATGAAGTGGCTGCGATAGTTTTGAAACAGAGGAAAAATTTTTTTTTATTTGAAATATACAATTTCGTAACATTTAATAGTTTGTTGAAAAACTCAAAACAAAAATTTTAGTATGTTAAAATTACTTTAGTAAATAAACAACTGGGGAAAAGCAGATGTCATTCTTAAGTCAAGTACATATGTTTAAAAAATAGCAATAAATTTAATAAATGTTTATGTGGTGAATGTATGTTAAATTTCACCACAAATTTCAATTAGAGTAGTTTCAATATCGCCTTTCAATGTATTATCATTTTTAAGCTTGTTGCTACACAAGTATGAAGTAATACTTTCACAAAGTTGAAATTAAAACTAAAACCACAAATGTCATTCTTGGCAAATCCATACATACATATATGAAAATTTTGTGTTATTGCATGTACATATGTGAATGTTAACAAAATAATCTATTTTAAATTGAATTAGAGGAAATCAATTGTTTAAATAAAACAGTGGAATGAATTAATAACATATTGTACAATAACGGTTTGACATTTAAAAATGTTCATTTTTGTAGCAACAATTATAGGAAAAAATTTGTATCGACCTTCTTGCATATCGAAGATTTTTCTAACCTTTTTAATTTGAATTCACAATAATAATTTTTCAGAATAGTCACAACAAACTTTTTAAATTTATCAACCTTTAAAATAAACGCTATTCTGAATTTCAATTGTTAGTAGGTTTGGTAAAGATTGAATTGTTCATGGATGTTGTTTTGATACCAATATATACATATATGTACGTCTTACTTTAATTTATTACAAACCTATGGCACATATTACATATGTACATACATGTATTATGAACATTTGTAAACATTTGATTATTTCTGCGGAAGTAATTTGCGCTCTTGTCCTCTCTTTTGAATATGTCAGTGTTATTTCTCATTTTTTAGCTAATTGTCGATATTGCTCTGGATTTGTATTTCTTTTCCGATATTTAACATATTTAAATTAATTTCCGCTATGAATATTTTATGTTTATGTTTTGTACCTGTATTTGTTTTTGTTTTTAAAATTGACCGCAGCCTGTCATTTTCAGTAATACAAAAATTTAATATCGGAATGACATTTATCTTTTTACAGACGCATCTTTTCAGAAATACGAATTACAAAAGTTTGACTTTTCTTTCGCTTTACCGTTTTTAATAAAATGTTATTGTTCATTACAATAAATTAAATATCTTCATCGATGCTTTGTATTCCAAATTTTAATTTTTACCATTATTTCATTATTCAGAACGTTTTAAATAATATAGTTCTGTTCAAAATAGATATAATTAATTATAATACATTATAATGCATTATTATGAAACCTGTTCAAGATAGAAATTTGACAGTATAAAATTGAGAGAAATATGAGATTTATTAATAATTTTTTTACAGGAGAAAAATATACTATGTATAAAATTTACAGGGGAATTTTATCTTGGACTCCCTTATTTTGAACGAGAAAAAAAGAGGACAATAAAAAAATATTTTTACTCTCGGAAATATTTTATATTTCATCTTTTGTTTTTTTTATAATTAAATAATATTATTACGTTTATAATATATAATAATAATATAACGTTTCTATAAGTAAAAACGTTATATATTTTGATTGCGATATAGTTTTTTTTTTTTTAAATATTTGTATAATTTTTATTTTAAATTTTAAAATTTTTTTCCATAAATCAGAGAAATTTGAATTAAAATATGTATGCATAGGTGTATATGAATTCAAAATGAATTTTTCCAGCCTAAAAATTCATTTTGATGAATTCTTTGTTTTAAATATTATAATATAATATATAAGTATATTTCTTTTTCAGTGTTTATTATACTCGTATAATATTATATAAAAGAAAAATTAATAAAATTTTTAAATAAAATATAATTATTAATGGCTACTGCATAACTATTGCACAACTATGTTTTGAAACTGAAATGTAAACAATATTAATGTGTTAAAATATTCCATGGGTTCATTAGCCGATAGCCTAGGTAGCTAGTTTTTAATTTATAGGTAATTTTCATATTATAATTAATGTTTGTAAATAAATAAATAAAATACCATGACCTCAAAATTGCTGCAATATTGTATTACTATACAAAATTCAGTAATTGCAACTCATAAGCTGAATTCTGTTTAAAAATTCTGTAATTATTGCAATTTTTGAACTGTTTTTTTGTACATCTCGATACAGAATATAGTAATAGGTACAATGTATTGGAAATATATACATACGCATGACTTTTTTATTCTTTAGAAACAAAGATTATTTAGGAACAATTTAATATTACAATTATGAGAGTCTTATATGTACATATAGAGGATTAATAATAAACACTGAATTAAGATGTTCTCGTAAACCCCAACAAAAGGTATATCTGTTATATAAGATTGCAAGACGTATTAAAGTACATTACAATATATATATATTACATTATAATATTATGTATGTATATAATAATATTGAGTGTCAAATTTCCAAAAACTACTTAGTGCTTTAAGAGAAAAAAAAAATATTTAGAACATTTTAATAATTATTTTTTCTGTTTATTTCTTTAATTGACAATAAAATGCCGAGGTATCTTTGTTATATTAAGACAAAGAACCATGTATATATATATATATATATATACTAATATGTATATAGTACAACTATATATATTAACAATCGTTACATTTAACGACATCATATGAATGATTTTTTATACATACTTATATAAATTTTGCTAATATTTTTTTTATTAGCACATAAAATTTCTTAGAATTTTGATAAAAATTATATTATAAATATAATAGGAATTTGATTAAAATTTAATATTATATGCTTACATACATATTTACATAGTTCTGTATTAATAAAATATTTAATAATTTCATGTATACTTTTTTTTTTTTTTAAATATAGTCTTTTTTATCCGTACAATTATACAATTTTATTTCAACAAATTTAAAAAATATTTTTCACTTTTTTCAGTTTTAATTGAATAAAAATAGTTAAAAATTGAAAATTGACTTTTTACATTTAAAAATTTTTTTTTTCTGTTTTAAATCTTTTATTTCTTTTATTTTTTATTTGTTTTTTGCAATATTATAATTTCTCATTTTTAAATAATTATATTTTAATTTCAAATAAGTCTTATATAAAATTGAATATAAAATTTAATTTAATCCAGGATTTTCTTTAAAAATTTCCCCTGATACGGGATATTCTACATCATTATCATTTACTCGGCCATTTGCATTAATCTAAAATATAAGAAAAATGAAAAAAAAAAAATATAAAAATTAGGTATCATACACATAATTAATAGTATAAAATTAATTTTATATTATATATTAAATATTAATATTAAATTTTATTTAAAGATCTTTATTAATTTTAATTATAATTAATTCAAATATAATTGTGTGCGCCATCATTAGCTGTGCTTATAGGACGACTTCATGCCTTAATGGTCAACATACGTTTCACTTTTCTTGTTTACAAGCTTTGTTGGCAAAAGAAATGAAACATATGTCAATCATTGATGCAAAACTCGTTATGCAAACAAGCCTAAATATATGCGAATCGGTTCAGTATAAAAGTTTTAAAATGACAGAACGAATATTGTCTCTTTCAATATCTACCTTTAATTCGTCTGACCAAATTATGTTCAATAAGGAAGGTTAAATGACATTAAATTTTACATATCGAGTTTTTAACAGAAATATATTTCTCTGAAATAGAAAAATGGTATAAAAAAAATTTATATGACTGGCAACTATATTGACATGCACAGATATGAACTTAGTTATCTGAACATAAAATTTTTAGTATTGACTATTCCGATAAATGAAATTATGCTCTAGTTATATGAATTTTGACAATAATTTAATTTTGACATATAATTTAAAAATATATGTAACGGATACCTAATGTATCAAAAAGTGTATTTATTTTACAAGTGCAATATTATTTGAAAGTTTACCGAATTAAACTTTTAATCTAGTCTCTTGTCAGTGAAATTTCAAGTCTTTGGTGATGTTTGTTGCATTAACTTGAAATTCTATACTAACAAGTTCATTTTCATCCTATGAAAGGAACCCGTAACAAGATCTGGGGATTCAATCAATTAGCAATTGAGTTATCAATTATCTGAACTCCTTCTGGAATTAATTATTAACAATTATGTACTTCATATAAGTGCGAATCTACTGCATTTGAGCTTTTGGAGAGATTTTGTGTGCACTCGTGCATTACAAATTCCGTTGAACTGATTTTAATGAAAGTTTATATATGAGATTTTATCTTAACTAAGAAATTCTTAGGCACTAAACCGATTTTACATTTTTAATAATTAAACTTAAATAAATAGAATTAATTTTCTTGTAATTTTAATATTGAACTCCATCTGAAAATATGAAAAAGTCACTCGATTTTGAGGAAATCAGATGGATTATTACTAAGGGCGGAGTATGCATTTCAGTATATATTCAATTCTGGTTCTATATTTAAACAAATACAAAAGTAAATTTTGAGAATACTGCGGAGTTCGAATACCGTTTACAAAAGATTTGCATTTACCAAAAGATTTTAAATGGAAAGCAAAAACAAAATGTTCAAGGATAAATTTTAATTATTTTACATTTGATTATGCAAATTTTTGAACAAATTTTTAAATAGCCCAATTTACTTTTGAATGCTTGCGGTAGTAATGCATTTGTGTATGAGCACAATATTATGTTAAAACTTTTAAATATTGTTTTGTTTACGTGGAACTCTGAAGAGTTTTTATATGCTAGGATATGGAATGAATTTGAGAACACATTGAATTCATCATATGTAGGTACACTTGAATTCAAGTTTGGAACAACTTTTTTACTTTCTTTCTTTTTTTGTTTATTTTAATATCTACATACTATATACACACATATATATATATATACGTATATATTGTTTTGCTATGATAAAAGTGCTTTCAATTTTCTGTAATCGTTTACGTAAATATTATTTTTATAATAAGAAATTACTTTTAATGGTTACAGAAAAAAAATATCGAGATTTCCCTAATTTTAAAATCACAGTATATATGTATATACATTAGAAATATTAGAATGCTAGATATATTTTACCCACAACAAAAGTAAAAGTGAAATGGTTATGAAGCATTTTTTCGAAAATTAAAATTTTGCAATTAAAACACCCTTACACGAAATTAATATGTAATACATGTATTTTAACATTTAACAGTAACATTTACTCAATTTACTCTTACATGAGAATAGCTTAAATGAACTATTCTCAAATATTGTTGATATTTTGATATCAATGATTCGCACTGATTGCATTTACAGTGATATATATAATTGTCATCTACATTATTATATTAGTTTTGTATGTTTAAGATTATTTATGAAGTATGTAAACTCAGCGCGAGTTATTAAACTCTTTGATTATATAAATAAATAAATAAAATTTTGGATATTTTTGTGTTGAAGTTATAAGATTCATAAAGGAAAGCAAAAGCTGTGAATACCTTTACATTATGCGAGTAATATGTAAAATCAAAAAACAGCAGAATTCACAATAATAAAAGTGGGATTATAGGATTATACAATGTTAGAAAAGAGACCTCACTTTATACTCTTTTCAAGTATATATTCATTTTCTACTTTCCTGCCGGTTTTTTGAGAAAGTTTACATAATATATTTTTTCTTTCTGCTTGTTTTCGTACTTTGAGTTCTGTACTCCATATTTCATATAAAATGTTAACAATTCACAATAATTCATAATATTTTTTATATAAATATATAAAGCTTTAGAAAATTACTAATTATATAATGCATTTGCAAATTTACCTATTGAAAAAACTTTTTTAATTCGAATATAAGTTATTATCATAATTCGGCATAAAAATTCTTATGTAATATTCTTATGTAATATTCTTATGTAATATATAAGAAAGTTTCTTTAAAGTAGGTGATATATTTTATGTAATAGAGAAATTTTTTTAGAAAATATTTTCCTGATAAATTTGAAAATCCCAACAATTTGTTGTTATTATTTTCATTAGGTCCCTTGTACGTCGTTGCTTACAATTAATTCATTTGTTGCGACATTAATTAAATTTTCCTGTTTTTAAATTAATGCGGAAGTCTATAACATTTTTAACTTTGCTAAACACAACATATTGAATTCATTAACATACATCATATATTTCGAACCTCTCAGAAATTTGTAAAGAATATTCTTTGCTGTTTAATTGGCTAAAAGTAAAAGTTATACTTGTTTTTGTCGATTGTCATATGTAGCTCTAAGCTTTATATAACATTGCTGTACATTTTACAAGGTTTTATAAAAAATATCTTTAAAAAAAAATTTTTTAAAAGAAAATATCGAAAATTAAGAATAAATTAAGAATAAATTAAAAAGTTTAGTAGATAATTTTTTTTGCAGAAGAAAATCTATTTGTATGCAGGGACATCCACAAACATACGAATCATACATGTGTGTTACAATTTTATTCAATTTATGAAAAATCAAATAGAGTGACTTTAAAATACCCAATTAAATATTAACATTGTCATAAAGTTATTTTTTTCTCTGAAGACGCAATATTATTTTGAAATAAACCTTGTAAATTACATAATTGTGTCAACATTTTAATATTAAATTTGATTTTTAATTCTTTGTAGTATTTAAATTTCTTGAAATGAGGAGTTCACAGCAAGTACTTTGCTTTTCTATTGCAAACCAAAATTATTCAAAATAGCCATCGCATTTCAAAAATTGATCATATTGCGCCTGACAGCAGGCAATATTTTATGTCTTCTATTATTTGGAATGAAGAGCAACTTTATTTTTTTAAATTCGTCCTCTTAATAGCAAACAAGAAATGAATGTAACACAAGGCAAAATATTGTTTTTCACAATTCTTGTGGGAGTCAATAATATTTTAGAATTCGTTTTGTGTTAGAAAGTTTTTAATTCACGAATTGTCATTTTGGCATAATTATTCAAAATCCAATCAAATTAAAAACAAAAAAAAAATTTTCCTTTTTTAACAAAACTTTTTACTTTTTCACTATAAAAATAAATTTTTCTTCTAAAATTAATTGATTTCCAAAAAAAAAAAAGAAAAAATAATAAAACTTAATTTAATAGAATGCACTTCAAATTTAACACATCTTTCATTCACAATATTAAGATAATAGAAGAGTGTGTAAGGGATTCGTTTAAATAATAGCTACATATATCTTTAAAAATAATTGTTAATAAAAAGTTAGGTGGAAATTTTAACTTAATTAAAAAACATTATTATACATGTCACATAATACTATCTATATACTTATATATAAATACATATATACTAAGCTAATAGCTTTTGAAAAGTTTCCTGTCTAACCAAATTAACTGTTATAGGTACATATGTACTCGTATTTAAAATTAATATTCGCTTATAATTGAATTTCAAAGAATAATAATGCATATAACTTTCATGACTCTTATGCAATATATAAAACTTAAGTGTTAACGTACATACGCACATCAATATTTTGTAAATATTGAGGAATATAATAAAATCAAATATCAAACAAAAATATAAGAAAAATTTTAAAACTTAAGAAAAACTTTTAAAATTCTATATTAAATTGTGAATGAAAGTGAAAAGCGAAGTTAAATTTTTGTAATAGTCATAAATATATATATTATTGGTATTCATGCATATATTTGGTTGTTGTCAAACTAAGCAATAAAGTGAATCAAAATTTGATTAAAACATATTAAAGTTTAAAACACACGACTTTTCTTAAAATACAATATGATTGACCTAATCAGATAAGTTACTTTTGGTTAAAGAGAATATTGTACGCCAATCACTGTATATCATGTCATTTTGCCTATTACCGTTTCGCAAAATCAGTTTCCCATTGAACGTTCTGTTACAAATTTCCTATATAAACAAATCCGTCTTTAAGAATGTAGTATTTATCTACATTCTTAATACCAAATTCAGATAGCTATTAGAATCTTGGAGGGGGGTTTAAAATTTTTTTTTCAGATTAAATTTGTAATAATATCTGTTATAAATTAAAATATAATATAAATTTTCTCAATTTAGCTTTATATTTCTAATTTCGTAGATGTACATTATATGTCATGTGAATTAAAATAAATCTGACAATCTGGAATTGATAACACTCCATAACGAATTTTGGCAGTTTTGTATGTCAAATTTTAAAATCAAAAATGATTATTTTATTATAATCTATTGACATATCCATGGCACCTACTCCAGAAACTTATAAATTTCCTGTACAAATTACAACCAAATCCCAAGGATATTAAAATAATTTTAATATTAAATTCACTACGTCATATAAAATATTTAAAATTAAAATATTATTATAAATAATAAAAATATTAATTAGCAAGTTGTTAATTCCATTATTTATATTAATAAATTAAATAAAAGAAATGAGAAATGTACTCATAAATACTGGAAAATAAATAAAAAATATCATATGAGACGGTGGAAATCATAATATGTATAAAGGCAAATGAAACAGGTCCAAGATATCGCAATGCTATAGAAAAAAATTAATTAATTTATGACATAACTTTTGACTAGACTTTAAGTAAATATCACATACATATATGTATATACACATATAATATAATATTATGTAGATTTTAAAATAGACAAATTCTATTTTTAGACATTATATTTTTACTTTATTTGGATCCAACGATTGCGATTTAAATATACTTCATTCAGTATTTTCTTTCCTTTTTTTTTCTTTTATTTCGCATTATTTTATTTTGTTATTCAAAACAAAATAAGAAATAAATTTAATTTTTTTGACATATTTAAGTTAATATATAAATGTATGAGTATGTATATACAATTTTTTTTTCCGTCTCTTAATCATGACCGTTTACAATTTTAACAAAGCGGGTCTTTTCAAAAAAAATATATATGCGTACATTAACTTTTATGGTAATGATTAAAATCGTACAATAACAGAAATACAGGTCTGGTTCTGAACATTCAACTCGTAATCGACATACTTTTTTTTTACTAATTTTATTATTTATGTATTCATACATGGTATTTTAAGTTTATCGGCTTTTATGGTGCTCTGTAAATGCACCTACTTGAAGTTTATGTAAAATATATTTGACAGAATTGGTGCTAAGGTTGTATTAATTTATTTTAAAAATTTGATTTAATTATGCTAATTTGTGGCTAGTTGTTAAAGAAAATGTATTTTTCTGGCTACTAAGCTGCAAGATTGAGTAATAAACATTAGTTAATTATGTAGGGCCTATATCTTTTTTTAATTTATTGTTATATTACAGACGTTTCAAGTTGTAAGTTAATTTCTTCCTAGAGCTAAAAAGTAGTTTTCTAGCAATTTATTTGAGCCTATAATCAACTGATTGCAATTTCCAGTCAATGCAATTGTTAAGATGCGTGCAACGATTTTACAATCAAGCAGTAATTGCAAAAATTAAAATTGCTTGTTTGTATATGAACCCTTATATTGAATTTTTTTGACATTACATTTCAATGACATTCCTTTAAATTTATTTGTTACCTAGAAAATTAATTTGGAAGATTTAGCTTTTTGTGTTAGAAGCGTTCAATCAATTTAATTATATCTTGTATAAATTAATTTTATTTTAAAAATGTCTGTAATACAAAACAATGTCACAATTTTTAATCAATGTCACGACGCTGATGACTGTACTTATATATTATGCCATTTTTGCCTTAAAAATTTTATTATCTTTTATTCTTGTTTACAAAAATAATTTAAATATTGAAATCAAAGTTCAAATTAATATGAAATAAATATTACAAGTACAAAACATATGTACATTGTATTTAAAAAAATTTTTTTTTTAAATGTTATCGGAATTATAAGAAATTAAAAACCTGCTCTTAAAAAAGGTTATATGTGAAATTTATTAACACTTTTCCAATGAAATATTTTATCATTCATTCTAATATAAAATTTTGTATAAGTTATAATAATAAATAATATTAATTAATAGATCTTGGAAAAATACATACATATATAAAAATTTATTTTATATACTTACTAATTGTTTCAAGAAATTCATCACACGAGATCTTCTATATTGTTCAAAAGCTTTTCCATCATTTGAAAAAACTTGTGCTACAGCATCAGGACGACCTTGAAATTCTTCTAAACCAACTGTTTGTGCAACTGATCTTTTACCATGGCCACCATAGCATGCGTGACCAAATGCTTCGCATCCCTCTGTAAATTAATTGTAATTTTATATTTATTTTGAATCCCTTTCTTATGTGTAATATTATATTGTAAGGGTATATTTGATTTTGGGGGGGTGAAATGAACTTGTAAAATAATTTTTAATTTCTTTGTCTTAATTTTTAATTTATTGACATAAACCAAATTTTAAGTGAAAACCGTATTATACAATATGTGACTTGTTTATTAATTGGAATACCCCTGGTTGTTTACTAAAATTTCATATAATCATTTCCAAGAAAAACTAGAGCTCGATTAATTTTTTTGTTTTCTTAATAAAGTGGTAATATTCCACGAAATATAAAAATAGTTTTATAATAAAAATAAATTAAATCTAACAATAGATTTAGATTTTTTAAAAATTTAAATTTTTAATTTAACAATATTACTATATAATTATTCTACAATGGTATGTTAAGACACTAGAAATGTCTTCTTATTATTTGGAAGAGAATTACTAATAATTATTTGGATATATCAAAACTTATATACTAAAGCAATAATACTCATCTAGGAACATATCATGTGGCACCTTCGGAATTGTAAGAAGAGACGCTTAGCCAAATTTATAATTATATAAAAAGTTATAAGTTTAAGGTTTCAGCGACTTGCTCTTAAGTCGAATAGTGGTCTAATATTTTCTACCCAAAAGCAAATGTACCACTCAATTTTAAATATTCTATAACTTCTTCTAAAAATTCTAATACTAAATAAATCAAGCTATAATCATAATTATGTAATAATTCTTGTAGAAAAGTTATAGAAAACCTTTTATTTCTCAATTTAGAATTCTAATTTTGATTTTATTTTAATCTTTATAAATTATTCTTATCAAAAATTATTTCAAATATATTTTTAAATTTTGCGCAGCATTAAAAATTCAAATTGATTTTAAATTTTCAATTAAAATTCACAATAATTGAAATGTTTATAAAATTCTTCAAATCTATTTCATAAATTTAGTTATGTTGCAATTTGCTTCTTGTTCTATTGAATTTTTTCCACGAATTGATTGACAATCTAAATATTTAATAATTTTTTAATTTTTCATCTCATAAAATTGTAATTTCAAATTTTCATAACGCAAGTCTCAAATTTAATAAAAATAATATTATAGGAAGCAAATAAAAATTCCATACAATTGAAATGTATATTATATGAAAACAAAATGGAAATATCTAAAATTTTATAAAAGTAATTTAAAAAAGATAAACATTGCTTTTTAGATGACTTTTGTACTTTAATATTTGAATAATATGGCCACATTTTGTACAATAACAAGTAAAAACGCTTCAGTAAGTCTAAACTGCCTGAATTATTCTCTGCACCTTAACAATCTGTGTATAAAAACAAAAACTTATTTTTGAAATATTAAAAATTATAGCTTTTAGGGTTTTATAGCATTTACTCGGACATGTCATTCGATCGGGCACATGACTGCCAAGTTTCATCAATCTAACTTTATAATTTTCTTGAATTTTAAATTAGCTTTCAAAGTCGACCTTAACGTATCAAGCCATTCTACAAAAACTTCAAGGATATAATCTTGGCAATAATTGGACACAAAACTGCCAAATATCATGCAGCTAACGTTACTGTGAATTTATTAATATTAACTTTAAAGGTTATATGACGGCTACCCGAACTCATTTACCAAATTAGTCCATAGTTACATTAAAGTCTGTCCTTAAAAATTATTTTGTCTTAAATTTAAAAAAAAAATAAAATAATAAAATGTTCTTTTGATCCTATAATACAAGAGGAGAGGACGAAAGAGTGGAGCACTTATTGTGTGAATATGCGACGGTGGCTCGCCTACGATTAAGATGTTACCAAAGCCCGATGAAAGTCTGAAGGCTTGAGGTGGCTGTTATACATCATTTGTAATGCTTAGGTATAGTGCTAATGTAAGTAAGAATGTAAATCACAAAAGATCCTATCTGGATGCCGACCTCCAACGAGAAAAAAAAAATCCTAATAAATTTATTGAATTTAATGAACAGGAATGTTCAATTTATAAAAATTTGATTCCTTAATAATCAACCTATTACACATTCAATGTATATTTCAATAATTTTATATTAGTTAAAAATATTTTATAATCATTTAATCAAAAAATGCCACCAAATAATTTCAAAAGTGTACATAGTTCATTAAGCTAACATATTATGTGTGCAATTGCTTTAATCTGGATTTGTTCGATAAAATTGTGAAACTGACCGTAAAAATTAAATTAACTAATATTATATGTACATATATGCATGTATGCATGTATAGTTCATACCACTGTAATATACAAGAATTATATCACTAGCTATAATTCATATTAATCCTGTTGGAATTCTTTAATTACAAAGTGTATATAGTGCATAATTTAAAATTACCAAAAAAAAAATAATTTTTTGATTTCCCTAAATATCATTTATAGTGTATAAGGTGGGTGACATATGCACTAAATATTATGTTATAATTATATTTATTTGTATAATAATAAAATATATTTTAAAATAAATATGTATAGGGGTGTCATTAATTTGATTTAATTTCCGATGAGAAAATTTATTAAGTGAAAAGTTCATTTTATTAAAACATTTTACTTTAAACAATGTGTTTTATACATGTTTTAATAAACCATCTTAATAATTATATCATAAAATATTTTTAACAAATATTAAAATCATAGGTATACTTAACATTCGTATTTACAGTCGAATCCGCATAAAATCACTTTGGATATAATCACAACCCGCTTATTTTCAAATAAATGTCATGACATAAAAATTTCTGTATAATACTCGTATGTAGTCTTACATGTATTTGTAATCGGATAACAGGCAACTGTTTTGATTCGCAATTTACTCAGTCCCATTTAAAGTATGTCGTTTAAAATCACATTTACTAAAAATTAAAACCTTAATTTTAATTTGTTAAAAGATGGAACAATAAAATTTCATTTGTATTATTTCCTTTTTCTGTATTATTGACAACAATGTTGGCTGACTATTATGTTATTTAATAACAACAAAAAAATCCATTAATTTACAATTAGTTCTGTTTTTCCAGCCAAATATTCAATAAACTTATTGCTTTACATATAAAATATATAAAAGTTATATAAGTATATAACTATAAAAGCTATATTAACCCCATTCAATTTCTCAAAATATGGGGAATTAAAAAAACCTCCTCTATTTTTACAAAGTGTGACATGAAACGGATGTGGTTTATTTTCACAATTCACTAAACGTCAGTAAATTCTGTACGTTATTTGATGTGCTATTAACCGGGATCCTATTGTGTATATATACTCGTACATGCTCATATAACATACATCTATTCAAATATATCAGTTTAATATAAATATTAATTATTATTTTTTTTTTGCAAATATATACTCGTATTTTATAAATGCTCACGTACATATTTAAAATCCACTGGAGAATTTTATGCAATATAAATATTTTTTTTTATATCCTGAATAATAATTTTTGAATTTTTTTAAGACATAATAATAAATAATTTTTTGTTTTCTTTCTTAGCTTTTACATAATAATGTTAAAGTTATAAATTTTAATCTTTTTATTATAAAAACGTTTATAACACTTGGGAAAATAATTTTTAATTTAAAGTAATTAAAAAACAAATTTTTAATTAGGTAATCATTGCCAGCAACAGGTATGCATCCAACTTTAATTTTTGGATTATATATACATACATATATATATATATATATATATGTACATAGTTATTAATTAAATATTATATTATGTATAAGATTGTAAGGGGTCTATACGTAGCTATTCTTATTCGTATCATCTTTGAATTTAAATGAGTTTCGACTTTTGAATTTCTTTTGTTATTTGAAGACTGTATTCTTGCTTTAAAATTGTTTCTCATCACAAAAAATAGTATTTTTTTTGTTCTTGTTTCCTTTTTTTAAATTAAAATAAAATTTTTTGTAGATTTTAGAAATTTAAAAATTTACAATTTTAATCATTTTTCTTTTGCTACACAAAAAAGCTCTAAGGATTATTTAGTAAATATTATAATTTGAATTTTTTCTTAAGGATTCTCTTATATTTGGTTAAGAATTTTGTATATCATGTGAATTTTAAATGATATATTTATATATTTAAAAAATAAATGAGGTATATATGTACTTTTAACGTCATAATATAGGATTCATAACATATGACTCAAAAATAAAAATTGTGAATATACTCGTAATTATTGTGAATGTAATTTTATTATTTTGAAAAATTTGCTGAGTTTTTTAAATGATTAACATTTGTTAATATAGATATATTTCCCGAATCCTTAGCCCTTCAGTAAAAATTTTAGTGACTATGAGCTTTAATTAAAAGTATATGTAATCTAAAGAGAGTAATTTGTTCATATAACAGTAAAAGTTTCGAATAATGAGAGAACATTATTAATACCAATTAACAAGTGCCTCTAAATTTCAGCCATAAAATAAATTTTAACTCATAGAAGAGGAAATTTTTCTCGCTCTCTTTCTTGATTTTTAGTACAACACAATATGAAATTGAAAGACAAATTCGTAATATGTTATACAACTTACAGTGTATTTGAGTTGTATGGAAATACTATGAGTACAATTCATTTCTTAAACATACATGTATAATAATAAATTTACAAAATTCAAAGGGAAGGAATTTTTTTTAAAGATAAAAATAAATATCCTTTTAACATTTTGTGATTTAAATTTAAATATACGTACACCTACATGTTCGTATAAAAAAGCATATGTGTACAAAATTTGTATATTATACAAAATATTTAAATCTTATAGGAAAACATGGTTTCATTTCATTACAAAATGCTCAGTAAAATCAAAATTTATTATGGTTAATATTGGTCAAATACCCATATTGTATAAGTATTTTTTAACCAAATAGACTGTTATAATAAGCTTAGCAATTAATTTAATTTTTTATTTTCTTTTATGAAATCCAATAAATTTTCAAACGATTATTGAATATTTTTTTTTATAATCTTATTTTTTTTTCAAATTTAATCAATATATATTTAAAATATTTTAAAAATAAAATTTGTATATATGTATGAAAATAGGAGACATTTTTACCGACTGAATTACTATTGGGGCCTGCCTGCTTGCGGCGGAATGCGGCAGTCACTGGCGGGACACGAAAGAGTGCCGTCATGCGAAAGTGTTTCTTTCGGCGTGCTCCAGCGGATTCACCGCGGAGTTGCTGGAGATGAGCAGGAGCCGGGTTCGCACTATTGCGAATTTCTTCACGGGGCACTGCCCAGTGAAGTACCACCTGCATAGGCTGGGAAGTCGGGCTCCCCCCTGTGCAGATTTTGTGGGTGTGACGATGTCTCTGACATCGTCGTCTGAACTGTTGTCCAACTCCCTTAGGGATATCTCCGGCTTTGTGATTGGGACGGGGATATTATATACGGGAGAGTGGGGGGGGGCTACAATAAGTCAAAAATGACTGCGGTGGTTTGGGGCGTTACTCCTGTTCCACTCGGTTCCCTTAGAATCTACGAATCTACTATCGACTTTACACACTGGATCACTTCATAATTTTCAACTCAAAATATCTTCATTTCTATTAAGTAAAAAAATATGCAATTTTCAAGTTCTGGAATTTAAAAATTCTGGAAAGTCCAAAAATTCGTCAATCAAAGAGTTTTAACAACTGATTTCAATAACAATTTGAGGCAAAGGGGAATGTAACGTCAACCATTAATGCAAAAGCTGTCGTGTAAACACAACTAGTAAAATATATGCGGTCATTTATTATTTCTAATTTGTTTTTTAATTTAACTCGCCTATTATTTATATAGACAACGATTATATTATGACAAGTTGAAATTGATAATATAAGTATAAACAGTTCCATTGAAAATTAACATTGCCGGAAAACACAATTACAGGTTATCAAAAAAAAAATATTAGGTGAAATAATATTAAGAACTATTTTTAGAAAGTGAGTTAATTAGAAGAAAAACAAAATATTCAAAATAGTAAAAATATAAAAGATTTGTTTATGTCTACAGGTAATAAATTAAATTATAATGACAGGTTTTAGTCAAAATCGCTACTACATGTAACAATACAATTACTCAGAATCTACTATCATGATATGTAAGTATGTATGTATGTGAAATTTTGAAAAAAAATTCTTTATAAATGAGAGAAATTCGAAATATTTTTTTCTGAAATTTGGAAATTTAAATTTTGAAAATTTAGGTTTTCAAATCGCTAACTTCATTGTGTGTTTATGGATATGTATTAAGGTTGTAAAACGTCAATGACAATTATATAAAATTTAATTTTGTTTTTGAATTACATGTCATCACTGATATTTTGAACTAAAATATAGCAGTTAAGTATGTAAATATGTATAGATAATGAGGTCTTATATATATTATCTGAAACAAAAATTTTATTAACAAAATAACCTTTATTTAATAAAGACCATAACTGAATATTTGCTTTTTTGCATAATCTATATTGTGTAATTAAAGATTTTCTGTTTTAGAATCTGAAAGTATAGCTACTATTAGCGTATTTTATATTACTGGAAGTAAATAGATTCAACAAGCCTGTACGACTAGCTAAAATATTTCTGGTTTTCTTTTCCACTTAATGATATTTTGTAATATTGAAAGAATACTCGTAAAACACATTTAGCAACATTGTCTCTTTAAAAATTTCTTAAGTTTTGATTGACTTGATTCACGGTTTTTGATTAAAAATTACAGTACATAAAAAGACATTCAAGCTCATCTTCATTTATGAAGATTAACTTGCATTAATAAAGATTTAACATTTATATAAATGGAACTTTGATTAAAAAAAAGGATTTGTTTGAAATTCCAGTACTGTTCAGAGCTTCCTTAGAATTTAAGCCCGAACGACTTTGTTGACGACATCCAAAAAAACTATTTTGTCATTTACTATTAAAGATTATTTGTAAATATATTTGATGAAATTTGCTCATTGCTAAATCGACTCACAGTTTGACAACAAATATTATAATATACTACAAGCGTATGAATTTTCACGCACATGGGTACGCCTCAGAACCTTGTTACAGAAGGATTTGTTAACTTACAATACCCTACAATGATGTGGTTTGTATATTAAGCTTTTGTATTAAAGTGCAATTTTGAAAACTTTATAGAAAATTTACAACCCCGACATATTTGAAGTTCAACTATATAGAAATAGAATTTGTTTATCATTTTTTAGATACTTTCTTCCTGTTCATTATGCACATAAATTTATTGTATAAGAGAAAATGTTGCATTGCATGTATATATGTATTCGTATACATACATTTGACATATTATATTGAACTTCCTTATTGTTCAATCGGAATAAACATCTAGATTCGAGATGAATGACTAACAAATGTATGAACCTAAACACGTATATAATAACAAACTATTTAGTTTCCTTTTTTTAGATATGAGAAACAGTCAGTTTTTAATATTGTAAATTTAATGATATTTTTGACAGGTATTGTTCACAGTGCTCTCAATATGTAGTAATACATTCGAAATTCGATGACAATTGGAAGCTTTGTATTTCTGAGTAAAACAATATTTTTGTGTTAATTAGTTGAGAAATGTTTTTAAACAATGTCTATACAATATAATATAAGTATAATGTAGAAAAAACTTGCGACAATTTAATATGAATAATTCAAATTTTAAAATGAAAATAGAACAGAAAAGAATTCGAATTCGAAACAGTGGATGTGTTTTGGTAAATGTATTTCTTTATTGCTTTTCTTCACCGATTTATATATACTTACTTTTATAATAAGACTTACTTTTGGGTTTCGCCTGATTTTGCTCAATTAATAAACAGAGTATTACAGCTATTGTTATTGCAGTTATTAATTTTTGCTTTGACATTTTGGTATCTGGAAAATAAAAACAAAATATTATTAATTAAAATATTATACTTGATTGGTCAGTTATATACAAATATGTTCAACTATTTTTCATTAAATTTGAATAGAACAAATTTTAATTTCTGTGTCCTAGTAATTCTCATTTTCATATTTACATCGTATAATGTAAATAATTGGAAAAAAATAGAAACTTTTAATTATAGAGACAATTATTATTATTATTTCCAATTCTATCTGAATGCATGTATACTTGCATTTACGTCCACATTTACGCATTTAATGTATGCATATTTAATGCATACAAGTACTTGTTCCCCGACAGGTTAAAAATTGTTCTTAATTATTAAAGTAATTTCAATACTTGAAAAATTCTTTATGTTAATTATGAACATAACTGTTCATTTCAAGAATATTCAAATGATAATTAACATTTATATGTAATGAAAATAAGAATAAATTGTTAGTGTTTTGCATATTTTCAGGAGTTCAATATTACAATTAAAATATAAAACATCAGACAAAAGTAATTTTTAGAAGCTCTATAAATAATATAAGAATATTCAACTCTAAACGTTCGGCTTTGGTATGAATAAAATACAAATAATGGAGTAGATTTTTGGAAGATAAAAAACGCAACTCAAACTAAACAATGTCGTATTTAATCTGCAATTTGTCTTTCCCAATTTGAATATCTTTGCAGATCGCATTTTTTGGCTTCTCTCTGTTTTCATGTTATTGAATTTATACAAAATTTAATCTGAGATTAAAACAGTGTTTAATTGCCCGTACACAATTTTAAAAAAAAATCTCAGATCTAGTCTCGAAATGAGATAAATTTAAAATTTTGCGTTACATATTCAAATTTCCCATTTTTCCTCCTTGTTTCTGTCTTTGGAATCCTTATTTTATGGCATTTACATATAAAATAATGCGTTATTTAAAACCTTTGAATTTTTAAAAAATACACAAGTGTAGGATGACTTTTTAATTCAACATTTTCATTATAAAAAATGAACTTTATATTCAGAGATTGATTTTTATACTATAAAGAACATCCTTTACAAGTCCTGTAATATGAAAACTAATACGGAAACCCTAAAGAAAAAAGTGCATTAAATTCAAATTTAAAACAAGAAACCAAATACAAAACAAAATTTTCTGCTCCCTCTACGTCATATAGGGTCACAATAATAGGTGAAAATTGTAAAATATTTAAAAAAATTCTATTTATAACTTTTAAATTTACTTTCATTTAAATAATATTTACTAGAAAATTACACAAAAAATTTAAACGTACATAGCCATTTACAAATTAAAACTGTTATAAATTCATTTTACAGTTCAGTCTAGGACTTTATATATCCAGAATATTTTGGAAGCATTTCTTTATACTTGTGCTTTAAATTTTCGCAAAAAATTCTTAAAAAATTATTAATATTTTAATGTGAATTCTGTTTAAATTTTGAATTCTTACAATTATATGACCTTTATTTAAACGTGAAATATGTACGTACAAATATAATTCAATTATGTTATGTACTTTACTACAATTTTATTAAGATCCATTTTTTAAGTAATCGAGTGGGTCTTCCACATATTAAATAGTATATAATGTGTACTGAGTTCTTTTAGTAATTTGCTGTAATTAAATTTCATGTATTGGAAGAAAAACATTAACAAATTCTATTAAATTTATCTTTGATATTTTTTTAATTTAAAATTATGTTAATTAAGTGTTTTTGTTATTTCTTGTGTTAAGAACAGAAGATTTTTATGAAATTCATATTGTTTAAATTAAAAATTTACTGCTCAATGAAAACACAAAAATTTTGAAAAAATATTTTGTTTACTGTCAAAGTTTTTTTTGTGAATCCATCCCAGAGAAAACATTTACTCTGAACACATAACACATAATATGTACTTGGAAATGTATATTCTTGTACTTACTCACATACATAATATACAAATAAAAGAACAACTTTTAGATTTTCACCTATTTTTAAATTTTCATATTTTACTTTAACCTCTTAAAATAATGAAATTTAAAAAATAATATTTGAATTATTAAAGTACTCGTACAGTTTAGAAATTGGCAGCGTATCTGAGAAAGGATTTAAAAATAGCTTACAATTGTTTGTTACAATTGGATTAAAACCTGCAAAGCAGACTCAAGTAAGCGCTTATATTGCATATCTTTCAAAATGGCATTTAATTAAAACAAACTATTAATTCGACACTCAATTGACACTTTCATCTTTTTGATTTCACTTTCATCTCTTTCATTTATGAAATCTTAAAATTCATTTGCTTTCTCTAATTTACATAACTCTCGTAAGAAAGTCGGGTTTTGCGTAACCTTTCATGAAAGCCGGCCTTGGTTAAAAATAATATTTCCAATTTTAATAAAAAAATTAATTTTTTGTCAAAATTATACATATATGTATATACGTATACATATATATATATATATGTAATATATATGTGTGTACATAATATCTAAAATAAATGTTTGTATGTAATTTCAATAATTGAATATACATAGTTAATAATAGGCAGTTTAATTATACAGAAAATTAAAATTCAACAATCAATGTTGGCTTTAACTGTATGTACATATTATTTTGTGTGTACAGTAAAACACGGTTAAGTGGATCACGCTTAAGTGGATTTCACGCTTAATTGCATCAAATTTTCGTGGCTTCTACTTTTTTCGATTTTTTCATATAAAAAAATTCGTTTAAGTGGAATTCGGATAAGTGCACAACACGCTTATCTGCACATATATTTTTTCCCTCATATAATACTTAATATGTAAATTTATTCGGTTAACTGCACATCCCTGTTTTTATTTAGCATAATTGTCAAAAATGAAAAACTACACTCTCAACTACAAAATAAGGAGAGCAACACTATGTACCTACACAAAATATTTTAGTTTCTGTCATTGTCAAATTTTGAGTGTTGAAAAATTAAAGTTTAAAACCAGTTTTTAATAAATTCAATTCTTTGACATCGGAGGTAATTTTTTAAGTCGAATTCGTATAAGTGGAAAACACGCCTTAGTGGACAAAACTTTCTTGGCTGATCGATTTCCACTTAACCGTGTTTTACTGTACATTGCAGCCTATACTATGTATGTATGAATTTGTGAGTAGATTTAGGTTTTTAAATATTGAAATTGTCTCCATATTATACAATAGTATTTTTTATAAAATTCTTTAACAAAAATATTGAAATTTGTTTAAAATTTTAAAGAATTAAAAAGATAGAGCAAAAGGTAATAAAATTGTTTTCAAAAAAAAAAATTTATTCAAAAATATTATTATGTCCCATATAATAATATTTTGACATTTTTCGTCAACACACATATATGTACATAAATGTATTATGTAGGTCCGATATATTAGAATTGATAGTAGAGAAAAATAAATTTTTAAATATTGAAATAATTTTAAAAAAAAATCATACTCGTATTTATAACTAAATTAAATATTTATTTTTTGTACACAATATTTAAATTAATTTCTCTAATAATGTATGTTTAGGGTGTAAACCCATATAGGAACCACAAAAAATTTGATTTTGAAAAATAGATCCACAATTTTTCTATATACATTTATTTTCATTAGATTTTCCATTAAATATTTAAGTTCGGATAGAATGAATAATAAAAAAATTTGCATAAAGGAAATTGATTTAAAGAAGACAAAATGTGTACCTATACAATCGCTTTCAGAATTTGATGAATTAGTTAAGATTTGTAAAGGTACATTGGTGTTACGTTATTAAAAACGATATTATGTTCATTTTCAATTTAAAGAATATGGGTGATTTTAATAAGATGAACAAAACCTTAAGATTGTTTAATGAGAGTAAAAGAAAAGATAATATAAACAAAAGTCCTTCGTTGTTGGTAACTGGTTGGTTAGGTATGCTTATTTTATATTTAAAAAATTTTTTCAATGTTAAAAAACTTAAATGTTTTTGTTTTTGTTAAGAAGAAGAACTGAAAAGAGAAAAGGTGAAAATTTTTGTATTTGCTTTAATTTAATATCTTTTGTCCTTCTGTTTTGTTTTTTTTTTTGCTTTATCCCGACATGTACATGAGAAATATAATAAGCGGGTCATATAACAAGTGATAGAGTAATTTTTGTCAAGTATTCCTATAACAAAGAGCTCTTATCTTAATTATACAAATTAAGATTTCCGAAGAGCATAGGTTTAATATTAGTTGGCATTTTAACGAATCTGTAGCGATAAGTCAAAACGTTTAGAATTGGGATTTTCTTTATTCAAATGAATTAATTTCGAAGAGTTTGATTTAATTTCAAAAATTACTAACTAATTATTAAATTTAATTTTTGAATTTAAAATAGCCTCATAACAATATATATACACCTATATATATACTATACCTCAAAACAAAGTCTGCTATATTCTATTAACCCGATTTTAATTATCGAGTGCCTCAAATTTTACTTAACCTTAATAATAAATTATTACAAATTAAAGAAATTTTTATACTCGTAAGTGTACTAGTGAGTTTAAAACGAAATAATTGCAGCCCAATTTTGTTGCAAGTTCAAAATTTTACAATTTCTTAAGTCTTAAGACAATGCTAAAATATTATTCAATTTGACATCAAAATCTTTAAACATTTTCAATAATTTTCAAAATGTTAAATCTTTAAGCATTATAACATTTTTCTAAAAGTACTTTACTGTTTTGAAATTTACAACAGAATATCTAAAGATCTAATTAAATAAACATAATCAAAATCAATCGGGAATGTTGAATATTCAAGTTGTTCATATTTTCATATGATAAATGGTGTTATAAATATTTAAGTATAGTCTTGTTCACTGTAGGAATAATTAAGAAAAATTCTAGTTGAAATTATTTTAAGCTCTTTAGCCTAGATCTATAGATATTCCACCCTATAGCAGACCCGCAATTTATATATACATAGTTAATTTCGTTATTAATATTGATTTTTACAAAATTTCAAAAATAAAATTGCAAAAAATATGTTTGTTATGTTGTCAATTTGAAATTTACGGCATAAATACACAAAGTTCATATTAAATATGATATGATATTTCGAATGGACTCACAAATTTATAATATGTATATCTCTTAAATGTATATAATTTAATCAGGTATGAAGATAACATGATAACGATTTAATAAATAAGTTATTCTATTACTTATAACAAAGGGCTACACAGATTCTTTTTAGTTTAAATCTCTTATATACACACATATACATACATATTTAAAATTCCGATCAAAACAATTCAATTAGCATTTTCAACAAATTGATTAGATTATTTTAAAAGCTTCACACTTTCAAAAATTTTATAATTGAAACTTATTAAAGAAGAAAGCAATTTTTTTAAAATTAAAAATGTAATTGTAACAAAATGGTGTTCAAAAATAATTTTAAATTCAATTTAAATAAATTGATGTCCTATGTCCTATATTCATATGGAAACCTGTTGCAAAGCCTCATTAATGCATTATCAAATTTTAATAAAATAATAGAAATTGGATGCACAAAAGGGAGGTTTTTGTGTCCCATGCTGTTGCTCGTCCTACAAATATTTGTTATTTGATAATTTTATTAAAAATTCTAATGCATTGAACTAACTACGGTGTAATCTAATGAATACAATGAGAACTAATTGGTTAAATTAGTAATATTTTCATAAAGTTTAACTGAAAATTTTTGAAAATATAAAGCTTTTATACCTTATAAAGCTTATAGTATAACAATAACACCAAATCTGACCCACACTGTCCTGTTTTTGGGCAAAATATATTTCATAATAAAAATTTAAAGTAAAACAGCAAGAATTTCCCAGGACTCTTATGTATTGATATTTAAAAAATCAAATAAAATTATTATAGATCGCAATATTGCCCTACCCCCATCCCTCCTTGCTTATCGATTTATCAATTTAATTTTACATTTTTCAGTATCTTAAAACATAATTAGCATTAATATTCGATTTGATTTACAAAATATTCTTTTTCTATTTGATTAAAATCATTGCGAGTCGTCCTTAATTAATTATAAAAGTAAAAATAAAATTGTAGAAAAAAAAATTGTAAAGGTTTTAATTAATCACTAATATAATTCATCCTTATGTAGATTTTAAAAGGACAAAGATGAACAATATTTTCATTTAATACTTAAGAGTATACCATAATAGCAAAGTATAGGTGTGAAAAGAGATTATTAATAGCCTACATATTAATTATTGATCATTTCATTTCCATAAATACGAGTATGAACTGAACATAATCAATTATACTAAAAATTATTTTTATTATGCTACAGATGAAGATTTATAAATGAATTTTCCGGTTTAAGTTAAAAATTTAAAATGAAAAAAAAAAAAATTGATTTTAATACGTTCATAATTAAAATTTCTAGTCCCCATTAAATTTCTATTATTGGAAATTAAATTGTAATGTATAGAAATTATATATAGCAGCATTTACCTGCATATTTCATTCTGTATATCAATTTGAAAAGGATATTTTATGTTCGTAGTTTTGATTTGTTATAAATTATGTTAGTGCATTATGATCATTAGAGGAATGCAATTTGTAAAATATTATAAAAAAATATATTGGACTGATTGATTTAGATGAAAAAAGCGTTTTACAATTGTGTGGTTAGAAGTGCGAACTCTTGGGAAAAGAGAACTTTCAGAAAAGGATAGAATTTTTTAAATTCATCAAAGGGATGATATCTCCTGTTTATATACACATACAACCAGAGCTAATATTTGATCTAAATCTGACGGAAGTCGTATATTATGCAAATAATAGAAATTACTCTATTCTTATCAAATTTACTGTCAAATTTTTTGAAAGAAATGTGACAAGAAAGAATTTTTTTTGCGGAACTTTTGAATTATCCAAGAAAATTTTTATCCAGTTGATTTTTATTTTAGTAATAATTTTCTTAACAAATTTTTAAATTTTGACGTAAAATTTGAGACGATTTCAGTTTGATATGCAAACAATCATCCGACTGTACCGTAGACTCAATCTAAGATATTGTCGTTTTATGTATACAATATACCTGAAATTTAATTAATAAATAATAACTTCAGAATCTTTCATCTTTCAATAAGCTAAAATTCAATAAATTATTTATTTTATTTATTTACTGGTAAAATTTACATATTTATTTTTTTGAAATTTCAAACTTTGGAAATTTAAGTTAATTTCAGACATATTTCGATTAATATTCGAATTACCGTTCACAAATTATGAAGAATTAAGAGGAATTAAAAGGTTTCTTAAGAAAAATAATTGTGCTTTGAATTCTGTTACATTATTAAGTATATACTCGCTACAAGCTACTGAGCTCATTTGAGTTTATTTTGAATCAAAGAATAAATGAAAAATATCACTAAAATTCAATGTTTAAAATAACTTCAAGTACATTTATGTGGATACGTTATTTGTACATAAATAAAAAAAAAGCAGTTAAAAAGCCGTCGTATATGAATTATTTATATGATTCCGTTATATTTTTTTGACAATTCACCCTATTTTTATGACAATGACATTATTGGAATCACTCATCTCCTCAAATATTGTTAGGTATACAAAATTTTTCGAATGCATTTTATTTAATACAAACCCTATTTTTTCTACCTTTATAGGTAAAAAAAATTTTTTTCATTCAAAATCAAGTTTAGCAAAACCATAATTTTAGCTAAAATATTTTGTATACAATTTTAATTTTTTTATTAAATTTTTTTTTATATTTCACTCACTTTTAAATATCACCATAATTTTCAAAATTTTATTTTCGGTAACACCATTAAAATGACTAAGAATCAATGCGTTTATTACATATAGAAAAAAAACTAAATTGAAAAATATCACAAAAAAATTGTCTAAGTCTAACCATAAATTTAAAATTAAAAATAATTAACAAAAATAAAAAAATAAACAAAAAAAAAAATTTGTATAGAAATCACAGAATGCTTCTTTTGCACACACGTATGTACATATGTATAATTTTGTACATACAACGTTACTATATAAATATGAGGAAGATAATTTAAAAAATCACATTTAAATAAAATTTTCAACTGGTTGAGTGCACTATCAGTGTTGACAGTGGTCAGATCACTAAAAATTGAATTTTATTTTCTTACAGTAAGAAAATTAGTAATAAATTAATTTTTTAAATTTTATATAATATAAGAATAATAAATTTATTTATACATAAGTACATAGGTACATACAGTTCGAATGCCGATTAAAATAAACGGTAATCCATTTTTTTCTTTTACTTATCTGTTGTTTTTCTTTTTTTTTTTTTTTGAAATTTAAATGAGAATTTAATTATTATTATACGTAATTTTTTATATGTTTAAAACTCATTGAAGAGTTTCTGACAGTTTTATTAATACATGATGAAAAATTTTGGTTGAACTTTAATAGATGATTAAAAAAAGTATACGTTAATTGATGGTGGGTGCTACCGTTTTTGTTGAAATTCGGAAATGTTAAGCATCTTATAATTCAATAATGTTTTTAAAGAAAAACCAATGAAAATAAGTAAAAAATAATTAGCAACAAATTTTTAGATCTTGTATATATACTAGAAACATATTTCCGTAAAAGAAAATGTTTACCTATTTCCCTCCCCTATAAAAAGTATAGCCCCTCAAAGTCTTAAAAATTCAATTTTTGATTAATTATTGTTACGAAAGTACAAATATTTTTTAAATTCTGCAAACGTAGAAAAATAGTGGTTGCATCTTTTACTCGTTATCTGAAACCCGATTTTTTCAAAATTTTGATATCGTTTTTCTTGCAGACCGTAAGTAATAGGAGTCTAAGAGCCTTAAGATACTAATAAATAGTATATTTCGTTAGAAAATTTTTCGCACCTTCGTTACTTCTCAAATTAACGCCGATCAAAATTCGAAAAATTTAAATTTTTGACACCTTACATTTTTGGAAAACCAAGCTTTAACGGTAAGTGCCATACCATCAAAAAATATAACTATTTATCTTAAATCTCGCAATTAACCCTTAATGTATGCAAGCATTCTGAAATATTTTGATATACAATAAATAAAATTAATTTAAAATATAACAGATTGTTTTTTAAAATAGCATTTTCACTTGTTGAAGGGAAAAGTTCTACTTTACAATTGGTGCTACTTACAAGGAATTTTATTAGTAAACTCGCGTTTTTAAAACTTTGTTGGGCTATAATTTAAAATATAGATGATATAGATAAATTTTTTTTCCAGTCGAAATTTACAAGTACGGAAGTTTTGCGTACGGAGACACAGAGACAAACGGCTCGACAAAAGTAATGATATTAATTAACTTAAATGAAATCAAGTAGGCTAATTTTTTCTACAATTTGGTTGTATTAACATCTGTGTCATTTTGACTTATTTTCTAAAAATGATCTAGTTAACATAGGAAATATTACGTTCCCGTATATTAAATTATGTATGTGTCATGATGTATTTATAAACGTGATTAAAGTTAAGTATAAATTCAAGATGTATTTTAATATTTCTTTAATGGTTATTGAACAAAACAACTAATATTCAAAATGTTATCAAAAATCCTTGTCCATCATATAATGTCAGAGAGCAGAACAAAAAAAAAATGTGATTAAAACAATAAAAAGATTAACAATGTCAAAACAAATGTTTTTATTGTTTGTTTACAATATTTAATTTATAATAAAAAGCGGAATCGCCGGTGTGATATAAGCTGAAATTTGATTTTGCATATTAATTTACTATATTTAGCAATTAAATTAATAAGAATCAAAGTGCAAACTTGCAAATTATATACAAATATATAGAAAATGTATACAATATGACGGCGATGACTTATAATTGAAATAAAGAAATTCTGCTTTTATATGCACAATAATAATTAAGAACAACAAACAGCTGGTACTACCGTGTAAGGTAACTTTATATACACATAATTTAAAATTATCATTTGTATTGTTTTGTTCAATTTTATAATAAAGAAAAAAAAATATGATAATAAAATTTAATAAACTACTAAATATGTACATATATAAGAATATAAATTATAATACGAACCTATGTACATACATATGTATGTATATAAATTTTGTGGCATGGTAATAAGCATGATTTTTTTTAAATTAAATTAATAAAAGACCCCGGATGATTTTAAATAATATTTCATATGAATTAATATTAAAAAAATAATGAAAGTTCTATAAATTGTGACTGTTCTATAGCTGTAGCAACAAGTTTTAAAATCTGTAGCAACAAGCCCAAATAATTTCCGTCTGTTTTGGGGATTTCGAGATAAGTGCTTTATTTGAAACTTTAAATTAAATTCTAGAAAAAGTTTTGAAGCTATTTACTCCAAATTTCTTTTCGGAACAAAAGGTTACCAAATTTTAATGTAATTAGCAAGTATTCTGGTTTCAAATGATTAATAATAAAACTTAACAATTACTAATTGTGTGAGGTAAGCGGTTATACCAAATCATATTTAGCACATACTTCTTAAAGCCCATCTCAATTTAAGCTGCTTAAAACTACAAATATTGCTTTTTAATGACTTTAATGAAAGTTTATGCCTTAGTTAGATTGCAAATAATAGTATCTAAGTAATTATTTCGTCTTTAAAATTTTTATTTAAGATAAAAGATCTTGAGCGCAGAACAAGATCTTTTAATGCAATACGTACATTATGTATATGAAAATTCTTGTAATGAAAGAAGGAAAAGCATTCCTTTATGCAAATGACTTAGCTGTGGTCGACAAACAACAGTATTATAGAAAAACTGGAGGATGTAACGAATAGTAATATGCGATTGAAGTATGATTGGTTTTATAAACACAAATTGAAAATTAAAAGTGAAAGTATAACACTCAATGTAAACTATAACAAAGCACAAATTAGTGTGTGTAATGTTTTAATACACAATTCTTTTCAAGATGTTTAATTTAAAATTATTTTAGATTTTAATAGTTGTAGCTGAAGTATTATTTAAAATACTTCACATTTATTGGAATGGAAACTGCGACTTTCAAAAAAATTAAAAATTTTCATACTTAATATGACACTAGCAGTAAAAATTCAAATAATTTTTAGAATTTGTTTATCAGATGCATCTTAAGTTTTTAACATTAAAAAAATTTTTTCAACTCTACCGTGATTTTAAGAAAAATTTAGAAAACCTTTCAACTATTTTTATACTAAAAAATTAATTTCATCATTGTAATTTAAATTCAAGTTCATATGCAATTTTGTAGATAATATGAAATTTTAAAAGTTTAATTTTGGGAAGGGTTTCCTTTATCTTGTTAAAATGTTATCGGTTTCATTATGAAATAAAAAGCATTTTTTGAAAAAATTTAATTGAAGCCATAAAATATTTTTATTTTCTCATCAATTTTATGTATGTAATAATTTTTCAATTGTATAGTTTAAAATTCAGAAGAAAAAAATATCATTGCAAAATTTTAAAAATAAATTTTATTTTAAACTCAGACTCTAATTATTTTTGAAAATTTTTGTATGATTTTTAAATTTTGACTCTTATTTTATACTGATGAAAATTCATTTTAAATTCATATTGCATTAAAATTTATTTGAATAATGCGTGAATTGTTGTATGTAATTTAAAATGTAATAAAGCATGAGTTCAAATAGAAACTTAAAGGGAACAAGAGTATAAACCATTAAAAATTGAGACTAAAGTACATAATTATGTTAATTTAACATTTAAAATTCTTCTGAGCTCTATAATTTTAACTTTAAATATAAATTAATATTGATTTTATACATTAAATTTAAAAAATTGATCTTTAAGAATGAGTTTTAAAGTCAAAATCGTAGTCGACTGATTTAAGGTTTAAATTTATAAGGGCAACTATCAAACTAAAAATTTGACGTCAACTTGATTTTTTCGAATTTCAGTACAATCTGTAGAAAATAGAAATGGTTTTAGTATATGTATAGTGTTTATCAAATTGTCAAACAAAGTAAACGGAATAAATTTTAGTATGTGCATGCAGTCAGATTGAAGTAACAAAATTATGTTGATAATGCTGAGAAATTATTATGAGAATTTTTACAAGAATTTTTAAGCTTTTAATGGTACCTGTTTTGCTGCTTACTAAAATGACAGACAAAAATAAATTTAGACTTTAGCAAATAATTTTTTTGTTCGAAATGCTTAGTGAAAAGTAGAATACGAACTTGACATCAAATGGTTTATGTTTTGGAAGACGCCCTAAGAGAAATTCCTAGTCCAATTGATATTGTAATAGTTTTCGATTTATTAGTTGATGAAAGATAATGTGTAAATTCATTTGATAAAACTATATGGATAGGCAAAATACTGTTTAAAACAATGCAGTTGCATGTAAAGCGGTCTTAAATTATTTTATCACTTCAATATAATTTGCATTATTGAGTTTTTGTAAAATTGCAGATTTTATATATGTAAAAGCTTTTAGAATCACAAATTTTATAAAAAATAATAGAGGATAAGGGTGAAAATTAAACATGTATGGGTTTTTTATTCGTTGATTAATTTAAGAGCATTTTCACTATATGAACAACCGCTTAAATTAAATCATTTCAAAACTCTTCATTAGTTTTACATACGAAAATTTTTATTTTAGTGTTATATATAATGTTCTGTTATAATTTTAAAGAACAAATCTTTAGGTAGATCTTTAAAAATATTAGAAACCTATATTACTTCCCAGATAGCACAATTTTTCAGTGTGCCATTTTCCAGTTAGCCACAATTCGTTCTAACGCAATATAATTTTGATCAACTTTCACTATTACATAAAATTCGGTAAAAATGAAATTATTTGAATTCTAGCAAATTTTGACTAAATTTAGAACTTAATTTTTGTTTTTAGTATATTTTTTTATATTTCATTATTTTAAAAACTCAATTATAATTTTAAAACGCAATAAGAATCATTACAATTGTTTTCATTATAAATGCATCAACTTACTAGAAAGCAGAGTCGAAATTGCAAGAAATCCAAATTTTAAATCTCATTTTTTTTTAGATCAATATTTCAAAATTTTTGACTTTTCTAACATTTTTACTAA